ATGAGGTAGGATCCCCGGTATAGGAGACAGAGAGTGTGTTTTCAGTGGGGAAGGTTAACATTTTAAGTTTATTCAGAACTGGATATATGTTTAAATTTTAACACTGAAGAAATGACTAAAGTCTAGGGAAAATCCCCAAGTTATCAAAAACTTGGTTAAATGAATATACTGTTCTAACCATAGTTAACGGGCCTATAAATTCACACATGCTGTTTGATTACAACTATGCCACATTACAACAATTGGAAGCAATGCTCCCTTCTGATACTCTTCTCTAAAAGTAAAGAACATCACTGATAGAAAGAATGCATAAGTTTCTACCTAAAAACCATGAACTGTTCTTGTTGCACCCGATCTGAAGTAAACACTAAAAGCAAACATTTACATGGCTCAGGTATGTTCTTCTTCATAACATAAAATGGGAAGATATGTATTGGAATGAAAACCAAGTCTATCTCAGGGTAGGTTTGTCTCTGGATATGAAGAAGGGAAAAACAACTAGAACAGATACACGAGAACCTCATTTTTAAGTGTGTGATTTTAAGTTAAGTGGGAATACATTTGTGTCTGCATCTTTCATGTTTTCCAAAAGTTAAAAAAAAACACAATTGAATGTAATGTTAAAAAGATGAGTCTAAGAATTTGCCTTAAAAATGACATCTGGTGGCACATGCATATAATCTTAGCAACTGATGCTGAGGCAGAGGCATAAAGATCACATGTTCAAGGCCAGCTTGGGGCTACACAGGAAGTTACAGGCTAGCGTGGGCAAGACCCTATGTCTAAACAAAAGACAACTGATACATTACTATACAAAAACAAGCATTAAGAAGCCCCACATATATGAGAATTGGTATAACAGGGAAAGCAGAGGCAGATGACAGCAGCAGGGTACTATCTATTTGCAGGGGAAAACAATTAAAATTACTGCTCATTCCATGTTTTCCCAATGTTGGCACTCTTACCAATCCCTTTCAGAACTAGTGCTGTGAGTTTACCAATGATTTATCCCATTCAAAATGAATATAAACACCCATAAGCAGGCATACACAGGAGTGAATCACAATAGAAAATACTGAGGATACAATATCAAAAAATATAGTTCAAAAGCATGTTCACTAATTTTTCCAAATAGTATCCCTTTTCCATTGGCATATAGTAACTTTTACTAACTATGAACTTTATGAGCAGAGGTTCATATGTTGTAGACATAGCTTTTCTGGTGAATATTAATTTTAATGTGAGACAAATTCATCACCTTATTTATATTTCTCCCTTAAAACCAATTCTGATACGGGTGCTAGTGGCTCACACCGATAATCCTAACTATTCAGGAGACTGCTATCATAGGATTATGGTTTAAAACCAATCCCTGCAGAAAAGTTTCTAAGACTCTATCTCCAATTGACTAATAAAAAGCTGGACTGGCAGCGTGGTTCAAATGGCAAGAGTGCCAATCACAAACAAAAAAGTTGAGCAAGAGTGTAAAGCACTAAGTTCAAATTCTGGAACCAGAAACACAAACAACAAATACTAAACCAAACTCAAACCCAATCCTCATATCCTAAATATGGTAGCGTTGCTTTTCTTAGCTATTCTTCTTATTAATATCAAAGAATCAAAACTAATGATCCCAGATTCCCCATGACTTTAACCCCTTATTTCCACAAAAGATAGAAAACTGTAACCTATACATCATATGGCATTGCACAGATTAAAAAAAATTTTTTTAACAAATATGAAACAATTTGTGGTAGCATACCCAGAGATAGGCATGCCAGTTTTTACATCATTGGAAATGGGGTAGTAGTCACAGGCTCTCTCCCCTCTAACACATTTGCTGTCACTAACAGTTCCTGACCTACAAAAGGGGAAGGGTAAAAAGAAAGAGAAGGATATCTATGTTCAGTACAAGGAAACTACAAGGCCCAGGTCCCTATCAGAACCACTGCAACTGTCAGCCTAAAATATTTTAGAATCCAGAAATCTACTCACAGAGAAAATGCAACCACAAAGAACTCTTTCAGACATCAAGTTTACAAACCCCTGTGTTAGCATCTAGTTTAGTCTTGCTTGAACTCTGCTGAATATATCACTACATCTAACTGTAAATCTACAAAAATCTTCAGAGAACAAGTCCAATTTTAGATTCCAAACTAAAATAAAAGATCTCAATGTAAAAAAAAAAGAGCTTAAAAATAAGGTCAAACTTTTCTATGTGTCAGATACGGTTATATCAAAAACAAAAAAAGGAATGGGTTAAAATTTATTCCTGTTAAGAGCTCATGACTGTGTTCCTCCAAGTATACTACCACTTTCATTTTTCTAAAAAGAATAATAAATAAAGCAAGACTGTGTGGCTAAGCACTATGAAGTTATGAGGTTAAGAGACAAGAATCTCCCAGCATATTTTCCCTGTTTTTGTAGAAGTCAGATTATAAAACAGAAAAGGCCTTGTTCAAGAAGGAACCAGTTTTGGTTGTGAGTGCGTAAGTCACCCATGTGTACAAGCTTTCAGTAATAATGAAGCAAGGTGAGCTCCCCAGAGACTTGAAAGTCATTGCCCAGCAATGCTTGGCTGAACTAAGGCAGGGAACTGCTCATTTGACACAGGCTCACAAAACCCTTTGTATTTCCAGTTGGACAGAGCAGGCTGTGGAACATAAGTTTTTCTAAGTACACACTGGTTCTGATTAGGGAAAGTTTTGCTAAAGCCTGTAAGAATAGACACTGCTGCTATTTTAGCCTGCATGTGCAGGCGACCGTGCGTTTGCTTGCACACATACGCGCGCGCACACACACACACACACACACGCACGCACGCACGCACGCACGCACATGCCCACAAAGATGGACTCGTCTGCCAGATGCTAGTGATTCAAACCTGTAATTCTAGCTACTCAGAAGGCTGAGCTCTAAAGATCATGGTTTGAAGTTAGCCCAAGTAGGAAAGTCTATACGACTTTTATCTCCAATTAACCACCAAAAAGCTGGAAGTGGAACAGTAGTTTAAGTGGCGAAACATTGGCCTTGCGCTTAAAGCTACAGGACAGGGCCCAGACCCTGAGTTCAAGACCCAGTTCTGGCAGGTGCGTGCAGCCCCCCTGCTCTCCTCCCCACAATGTTATATGTTCTATTTAGAGATCTAAAGACTTCTAGCAGCTGACTACTTCCCACAGGACTGCTTATCTGACTCTAAGCTTTTACTTCATGAAGCAAGGACTGAAGGAAAGAGGAGGTGACTGTAAAATATTAAGGACCATTCTACCTACCTTTGAGATGAAGGATGGCCAACCTCATTTTGAAATTTTTTAAGTAAAGCCCGAGTGGCTCCAATTTTAATCCTGTGTTTAGAACAGATCAGAAAAAGGGCTGCACCTTTTTATAGTAACGAGGCACCACGTCTGGTGCCAATCTGTATTCTGCGTTGGAAAACAAGACCACCTACAGAGGGCACCTCGGCAGTATGTGCCACAGCCAGTCTCATTGGCACCACAGGCATGTGAAGGCAAAATGTTTTCAGTAAGAAAATACACCTCCGGGCACCATGCCAGGATGACTGCCAGAATCTTGAGTAGCATCACAAAATTTGTTTTGCATTTTAAATTCTTGGAGAGATCTATAATCGCGTCTTTATAGTAGGTTTAAAATCTAACTTAAAAAGAAAAAACCCACCTCCACCTGACCTACTGAAATGCTATGTTACCTTCAGCCCCTGGCAATTATTGGCTAGATCTAACCCATGGAAACACTAATTTAAAAATGCGATAACCCATATCCTCCAGTGGAACCTGTGGGGTTGTTTGAAATGAAGTGTACTTATGAAGGAGAATAGTTTCAGGCAACTCCTGCTGTTCTCTGTGGTTATTACTGTGCCTTTTTAGTGAGGACATTAAAGGCTCCCTCTTTCTACCCTAAATTCACAGACTATGAGGATCCTACCTAGCTATCTCTGACAGGTCAGTGATCACACAGAGAGCCAGGCAGTAGCCAGATTCCATACATCTCTCAAAATTTACCAGGAACCAGCACTACTAAGCGCCTGCCACCTTTTAAAGAGCTACCATTCAACATCAGATAGGACAATAAACTCTCACACAAGCATGAATATGTGCAAGTGTCTGTTCAGCTTCTAAACTCAATGGTTTTTCAAGAAAAAAAATTAGGGGTGACATTGTACTCATAAACTAATCTATTAAATTGAAACCCTGTTGTATGACTTAAAGTATAACAATTAAAAATTTACTTTGTGAATAACACTTGCTATTGAGAAGCAGTTAATTAAAAAAGGAAAGAGAAAAAGACTTCACAATTCTTCTAAGAAAAGGTATTTGAAGTTAGATATTATCTTGACCGAGTGATCAAAGCCTGTTTCTGTAATGAAGCTTGCTTTTAAATAACGCAAATCTTTGTGTGCGGGTTCATTACTTAATGTATCTGCATTCACATAGACAAATTGGTACATGAGATAGCGATGGAAAAAGTTTTGCTGAATTTCAGAACAAGACGCAGTCTGTGCAATGTGACTATGCGGAGATCTTCAGCCAGCTCTTGCACAGCCTCTTCTCCCAGAAGCACTGAAGGCTGGGAGGGTTGCGGCCACTTGCATAGAAAAGCAAAGCAGAAAGCAATGGTTCCTGGCTCCATGCTACAAATTTTAGTGCCTGACCCAGCAGAGGGTACCACGAGGAAAGAATGTACTACAAATTAATTTTAGAAAGGGTTCGCAAAGATCTTTCAAAGGCCAAACACTCCTGCCACAAATGACTTCTACAGCAGACCAACCACAAGCAATGATGAATTGAACAGGCATGACTTAACAGGCAATAAGATCAGAAACATTTACCCTTCACCTCAGGAATGGCCGCCTGTCTAGGAAACACAGCCCTGGTACAAGATCTGTGGTTAAACAGAAGCTTAGTTCATATTTGCTGACCATGACAGTGATACGTATGTAAAACAAGATTTTCAAATGTAGGCAATCTGCAAAAGGTACTTACGCAGCCTCCAGCAAGAATTTCTGCTGTCACTGGGACAGAACCATCTTTGTGCATAAATTTATCCCTCACAAAATCATTCACCTTGAAGAAAAATATTTATAGAAGCTGATGAAAAATATAAACAAAGTCATTAAACACAAATAATATGCATCTGTTAATATGTATTCATTTTTTGTCTATTGTATAATTTAATAGATCTAATATGTTTGAGAGAAGTATTTTAATAGCATACATATGGTTTTGAAAAGGTAAAATATATATTCCTTCTTAATGTTGTAGGGAGAAAAAATATAAAATGACTTAGAAGCTCAAAATTCATAAATGTCCTGCAGTCACAATAGTAAGAAACACTGATAGTTCAAACAAAATAAACCCATATTTTATAATTTAAAAACTATTTTGTAAGGTATGAGTAAAAAAATCACTTTTAAGTCTAACAAGATTTAATCTAAAACACTCCTCACTGAGACCAATTTTTTAGATGTTTTTCCAGCTTAGTAGCAATTCAGTATCTAAAAATTCTTCAAAGATCTCAAAGAGCATCAATTGCATTAATTAAGTATAATATTTTGAAAATGATATGTACTACAAGCCATTTTAAGACATATATAGGCCAGAGAAGATTAACTATTTCAAAATCACATAATAAAATGGTGTAAGAATTTCAGGATTGAAATTCCATGGCCAAATCTAAAACTTGGAACTGAACTTTCTGGGACTTTCAAGCCTCAGTTGAGTTACAACCAAACTTCTGCAAACACTCAAAGGAGTACCAATCACTTGTCAACATGAGCCAGGTACGGGGTAAACAACATGATGTAAGGTCAACTTCAACTAGAACATAAAGATCTCAGTATTTGGCTTTGGCAAATGCTAGTGTGACACACCCTACACATTCTATTAACAGCAGGTGTAATTGAAAAAGGATCACTTTGAAGTCAGAAAGTCTGAGTTGCAATTCTAGTTCTCCTGCTCATGAGTTATGCGGCCATAGGTAAACTGTCTAAACCCTGAGGCCTCACTCTCCTTATCTCTACACAGTAGATCACACTTTGCTTGAGATTAAAACAATAAGATTACGAATGTCAAGTGCCTAATATGGGCTGTATGGAGGGAAAACTCTGCTGCTGCTGCTGCACCACTGCTATTGCTCTAAGGAAAAGATGATGGCAAAACCACCAAGAGTGTTCTCCAAGGTCATTATCACATTTTGAAGGTTCAGTGTTAAATGGGAAATAATGAAAAGCCATGTGTGGTGAGAGACTCTGACCTTCAAATTAGTTAGTGCCTTTGAGGAACCACCAACCTGCTGATTCACAGAAGATTACCTATTAGATTCTTAAGTATGTGCAAATTCCCTTCGTAAGAAACTCCAACTCAAAAGACTTACTGTAAGTTTTATGGCCTTCTCTGGGGCGACTCCCAATAACTGTGGCAGCAAACCTAAAAATCAACAAGGAGCAGAAGTATATTAAATAAATTAGCATTAACTAAACAAATCAACAGCTCTGTAGAGGGGATCACCACTTAAAAACTGGGGCAATCTTTGCTGCAATTTTCTGCTATTACCTTTAATGAGAATACTTGAGATGGAATGTTGAAGTACTAACTTCTAACAGCCATAGCAGCCCCTTTTACTTTATGGATCATTTGCACATTGGGTCAATCCACAGTAAGTGATGCAGGAAATCTCATTATTACAGGAAAGTATGTCTCTACCTTCTCCCTTCCCACACCTCCTACTCAGTGGACTTTATTAAATATAGAACAATATACTGATAGATGGATAGACTGTTTTTGCCCTCCTTTAAATGCCCATAGATCAGGCATTTGTTTCTGGAACAACTCTAACTTGGGGATGAGCACCTTATATGGTAGGGCACGCTCTTACTCCTCTTACATTAGAAAAAGGCGATTGGAAAAGATTCTTTCTAAGAAGAGCAATAGATAAAGCAAAGGAAGAAGAGTGGAAACATGCCAATGGTACTCAAGAATGGAAAACACTACTATCCTGGCCCATGGGGAGGAGTCATAGGGAAGTAGCCCAAGGAACCAATGGCTAGATACTGTTGCCACTATCTAGGGCAAGATCCTGAGCCTGATACACTCTCACTTAGATGGGCAGTATATAGAAGGTTCGAAGCAGATGAGTGATATGCCTGCTGCTGGACAAGGTAAGAATGCTGACTGTGTGGGAATGTTATGTCACACATCCATGTTTAGGAAGGAAGGTGTGGGAGAGAACCACCACACTTGACTAAGTCTGTTCAATCTTTAGCATGACCAACTGGGAGAGCTGAAGAAACCTGTGGAAAGTAACGTTTGGGTTGACACATGAACAGCTATGTTTTGGACATGTTCAGCTGAATTGGGAGTCAGGCAAGAGTCAAAGCACTAGGGAGAAATGCGGCCTTCGCCAGGTGTGGCAGTTAAAACAGTAGGGGACTATATACTATTTTCATGTATTTTTTTCTAGGAAAAGAAATAAGTGAAAATCAAAGACTAATGTCTTCTTAGATAATCACCCTGAGCTGAGGAAAAAATACATTTAGACTGTACATCCTGATGCCTTTTCAAAGTGCTTCAGAGTACTAGCCATTGTCTAATTCATCTACACAGAAGGTCTACTTGTCAGGCACCAGTGGCTCATGCCTATAATCCTAGCTACTCAGAAGGCTGACATCTGAGGATCGTGGTTCGAAGCCAGCAAGGGCAGAAATGTCCCTGTGTGAGACTTCCCTCCAATTAACCACTCAAAAAACTGGAAGCAGCACTGTGGCTCAAGTGGTAGAGTCCTAGTCTTGAGCAAGAGTTCAGGGACAGTGCTCAGGCCCTGAGATCCAGCCCCACAACTCATTCTCTCTCTCTCTCTCTCTCTCTCTCTCACACACACACACACACACACAAAGAAAGTTTACTTGGCAGACTCTTCTGAACAACCAGCTCTGCTATATACACTGTGAAGCAGCAGCCCGAGGCCAGAGATTCTTGATCCTGTATGTCTCTAGCATGTGGGTATGTTTGAGGAGCATGAGCTTTAAAACATAATCTAACTAAGCTTCTTGCAAAAAAAGAAGTGGCAGCCTGGATCTCTTTCTGACTTCACAGCAATCTTTCTAGATTGGGAAAGGCTCTACTTTTTAGACAAGACCCTGAATCCAAGGTCTCCACTCTGCTCTAAAGCTGATACCTCAATGAGCACAAGTGCCAGTTTTTATTTTTATTACTCTTGTTCATATCCTCACAATAGAATTTTTTTGTTTGTTTTTTTGTTGCAGATGAAGGGAAAATGTGTCTCAACATCATGACACATTTAGGACTGAGCAAAATGACTGGAGACTGAGGTTAAACCACAGATCTAATAATACATAATAGTGGTATTATACAGGTATTTACTGCACACCAGGTATTACTAATACTAATGCTTTATGTGAATTAACACATTTAATCCTCATAACTATGTTCAGGGCACACTATTTTTATTCCCATCAATGAAGAAATAAGCCAACTTCAATGGAGTTGCCTAAGTTCACTCAGTTGTTAGATAGGAAGTGGCTTTCAATCCAGATGGTCTGGCTCCAGAGGGGCATTGGCAAGATTCTGTAGATATGGAGGACGGCTTTAAAAGTAAAATGTTTCACCAGGTGCTGGTGGCTTATGCCTATAATCCTAGCTATTTGGGAGACTGAGAATGGGAGGACTGAGGTTCAAGGCTAGATAGAAAAGTTCATGAGAGGGCTGGGAAGGTGGCTCAGTGGTAGAGCGCTTGCCTTGCATGCCTGAGGCCTCGGGTTCGATTCCCCAGTACCACATAAGCAAAAAGAAAAAAGCCAGAAGTGGCACTATGGCTCAAGTGGTAGAGTGCTAGCCTTGAGCTGAAGAGCTGAGGGATAGCGCCCAGGCCCAGAGTTCAGGCCCCACGACCAGACCAAAAAAAAAAAGAAAAGTTCATGAGAACCCACAGCTAAGCACAGTGGTATATGTGCCTATCATCCCAAGCTAGTTGGGAGGCTAAGACTGGGAGGATTGCAGTGACAAACCAGCCTGAGCAGAAGAGTCCATCACTATGAAGAAAAGCTAGATGCTATAGCTCAGGCCTGTGATCCCAGAAAAAAATAAGAGGTCTAAACTAAGTGGATCATGGCTCTAGCATGTGCCAGAGCAAGAAATGAGACCATACTTCAAAAATAACCAGCAAGCTGGGCACGGTAGCTCATGCCTATAATCCTAGCTGAGATCTGAGGATCATGCTTCAAAGTCAGCCCGGGCAGGAAACTCCATGACACTCTTATCTCCAATAAACCATTAGAAAACCAGAAGAGGGTAGAGCACTTGCCTTGAGCTGAAGAGCACAGGGACAGCACCCAGGCCCAGAGTTCAAGCCCTACAACCGACAAACCAGATATGGAGACATAGCTTAAGTGGTACCATACTAGCCTAGTAAGCATGAAGCCCTGAATTCTAACCCCACTACCTCCCTAATTAAAAACAAAAAAAAGTTAAAAGTTGTAACAGCAGAAAAATGACACAACAAGGGCAGAGACCAGAGCTAGGAAGAATTAAAGTAATATAATCAGAAGTCAAGAGTTTCTTTATATTAAATAAAGGTCAATTCAGTAAGAGAACCAAAGTGAGCACAGATTCCTAAGACCTGGAAAAATGTCAGCACTGAGGTAGGCAGTGAATAGGAACAATTTTTACTTTTAATCTACTATGGCTAAGCAGCAAAATACAGGTAGCTATAAGTTGTAATCTGTGGATATGATGTGTCAAGTCCACTACAAATGTGGAGTTGACATGTCTAGTTTTAGGTAAATGCTCTTTGGGAATCCTCATGATCTGTGGGACAATGAAAAGTTGCGGAGGTGGGAATTCTAGTAACACTCTGTACACCTAGACTTCTGAGGGAAGAGGGTATCATGGCTCAGTAAACCTAAAGCCAACTTCCTAGTTAGAGCACTTCATCATAGTCATATTTAAAGTTCAAGTGAATATATGTTTGACATCTGTGTAACTCAGCAAAAAAAAAAAATCAGGTTTCTAATATAAGATGTTTCTGGAAATTCATTTTAACCATTTGAAACAGAGATGGAATGTGTGTGTTGTTTCTAACTTGTCAAAACTGCAGTCCATTTTCCAACTGCCTTGACTGAAATTTATTAGTGTGGTTGGTTTCTAATCTACTCTTTGGAGTCCAACTCCATCGGCACATATGGCAATGCTTCCTTAGCAACGTTCACTCCACCGGGGGCTGCTAATGCGCGAAAAGATTTACAGGGCACAGTATTAATACCGTGTTTTGTCTTCAAATTTCATAGGTTGGAGATATAAATCATATTGTCCTTTCTAATTCTAGTCCCTATACAACTCAATGAGAACTCAGCTAGAGATGTGGGACCTAAGTCCCAGGTCAGAAGCTTAGATTTTTATTCCCTTGAGTAACGTGCACTATTTTTTTTTTTAATCTAAGAACTTTTGAGAAATATAATTCTATCAATTCAGAGTTGGCAAAAGTTTGGGAAAGAAATTCATTAACAATGTTAGCCCAAGCTAAGTGCTGGTGGCTCATGTCTGTAATCTTTACTTGGGTGACTAAGATTGGGAGGAACCCAGTTGGAGGCCAGCCCAGGCAGAGAAGTTTATGAGATTCCTACTCCACAGAGATGCATATAGTGGCACATGCCTGTTATCCTAGTAAGCTAGTAGCCTAACATGGATGGCTCTGCACCTATGTGAGTACCTAGACAAGAAGTCCCTATCTCAAAAATAATGAGCAGAAAGCAGGTCCGGAAGTGTGGCTCAGTGATAAGAGAGCCTGGGTAGAAAGTGTTCAAGCATCAGTACTGCCAAAACAAAACAAAACCTTCACAAAACCTAATGCTAAGCCATTTAAAGCAATTAACTTCCAATGGAATGGCAGCAAAATGAATGGTTTTAGGGTACAGGTTTTAGAGGTAGACAGACAAACCTTGATGGAATTCTAGGTTTGTACCTCTGTTGTGGTGAGTGATCTTAGATAAGTTCTCTTTGAATTCAATGAAATTCTTCACTGCTAAAAACAAGCATGCTGGGGCTGGGAAGGTGGCTCAGTGGTAGAGTGCTTGCCTTGCATACATGAGGCCTGGGGTTCAATTCCTCAGCACCACATAAGCAGAAAAAGCTGGAAGTGGCGCTTTGGCTCAAGTGGTAGAGCGCTAGCCTTGAGCTGAAGAGCTGAGGGACAGTGCTCAGGCCCAGAGTTCAGGCCCCATGACCAACAACAACACACACACAAAAAATAAATAAATAAAAACAAGCATGCTAATTACTATTTGCTAGTTTATTTTTCATAACATGAAAATCAGATAATTCATCACTTATTTTATATTCAAGAACCGTTAGTACTTGATGCCATGTTTTCAATTTTTCTTTTTCTTTTAAGTCATAGGCTTGAGTTTAGGGCC